TTTTTTTTGGCTTATTTTATTTTACTGTTTGCTTTTAGGCCGTACCATTTCGAAGCCTTCTAACTGGACCATTCGAACCCGGGCAAACATTGATGATCAAAGGTAAAACGGCTGAAGATTCTGTTAGGTATGTTTGTGGTTATATTTTGCGAGTCTGCATTGATTTTCTCACAGCAAAATCTTTTCAAAACATCGCTGTTTCACCAAGCGCCAACATGGTACAATTAGTTGTCTCACCAAAGAGTTTTTCAAAAAAAAAAGGTTTATTGGACGATGCAAAGCAGACAGCGTTATAGGGAACAGTTACAGGGGGAAAAAAATTGCTTGAAAATAAATGACGAGAACGGAATAAAATTGTGATTTGCGACAGATAAAAATTAACTGTATTTGAAAATTGTCTTGAACTTCCTTTTTTTTTTTTTTTTTTTTGCATAATCCAATTTAACAATTCATCAACCGATTCTTTTTCGTCTCGCTTGATTCCTGTTAAATACTAGAAATTTAATAATGGGAAATATAGCAAGAATATAGCACAGGGATACATAGAGTTTTGATGAGGACGAAGAAAAAAAAAAAACATCGATAAAATGTATCAACAACAATGTTACAGCTGTTCCAAGGGCGGTTCTTTGTTTTTTTTTTTCCTCTCCTTCAAACTGCTAACCAATTGCTTTTTCCGTGTTTTTTATCGCACAAATTTGCGGATATATTAATACAAAGAAACTTCCTCTTTTTTGACAACTTTTCACGTAAGCAATTTCTTCATCATTGTGTCGTCATAATCATCACAGTATTTTCATGTATAATACGTTTAAAAAATGAGTTTTTGTACTTTATCTATTTTTTCCTGCCTAAAAATTATGACAGATAATGGGGAATGTTTTGTGTTTTTGATAAATGTTCGGTAACATTTTTTCCGCTTATCATACAGTATTCAGAAACAAATGGAAAGTTGTATAGGCAATAGCAAGAACAATAGCGCAGAATCCAGTGGGAGATACAGGAGTTGAAAATAGGTTTTATATTGAAGTATCGTTTTTTGAAATCAAATGATAGTGGAGGAACAGAAAAAAAAAAGCGTTTTTTTGATTACTCAAAAAAAAGTTTTTATTGAATATTTATGCCATATCGGAGGGTTTATCATTTTTTGCTTCTGTTGTAATTGCTATTTTTCTATTTTCGTCATCTATACCGTTATATTAATTTATTTTCATTTCTTTTTTGATATCATGTTTTTTATCAATTTTTTACTGCTGTTACTGCTATTTTGTTCATTTTTAAATTCGTAACCGAGATTGAAAAACAATTTTTTTTGTTTTTGAACCGATTTGTCAATGTACTCTATCGTTCCTAT